AGGAGTCTGTTGGACTCCCAAAACTATTTGAAAACCATGGTGTGGCTTCCGATTGGCTGCAGGAGCTTCCTGTACTCAAATGGAAGCCTTGTCAGATGTTAGGCTTCCAAAAAGACGCTCACAAACCGGAACACTTGTGGGTTTGCAACGTTCGGGAGCTGATTTGTTCGGCAACTAAGCCGTTCGGGAACCAAGGTTTGCAGTATATAAAAAAAAGCTGAAGATACTAGGGATCAGCACCTCATGAGAAGAGAAGACTCCCTGGAAAAGACCCTGATGCTGGGAAAGATGGAGGGCACAAGGAGAAGGGGAGAAGGGGACGACAGAGGATGAGATGGCTGGACAGTGTTCTTGAAGCTACCAGCATGAGTTTGACCAAAATGCGGGAGGCAGTGGAAGACAGGAGTGCCTGGCGTGCTCTAGTCCATGGGGTCACCAAGAGTCGGACACGACCAAACGACTAAACAACAACACTAGGGATCAGGGGCATTGGAAGGGGGTCGGGGGGCAGAGGGTTCGCCCCGGGTGCCATCATGGAGGGAGGTGACAAACTATCAAGGAACAATTACTGCCCTACTAGGGCGGTTCATAAAAAACTTTTTTTTAAAAAAAAATGTCTGCTCCAAAGGTCTTATCCTACACTAGGGATTATATACCTATATCTGAAATTTCATGCATATCAGTTAATATCTTGACCCTCCTCCACGAAAATAACTGTTTACTTGGCCGTTTTCATATGTTGTGAAGGCTGAACTTTCAATTCAGTGGAGCCAAAACACAATCCATCCTGTAGATTTAAGTATCTGTCCACAGTCGCCTACTTGTTATCAGGGGTCCAGAATCCACATTCCTATGTAAGAAAATTTGACATAACGTACAATGGTACCTCGAGTTAAGTACTTAATTCGTTCCGGAGGTCCGTTCTTAACCTGAAACTGTTCTTAACCTGAAGCACCACTTTAGCTAATGGGGCCTCTTGCTGCCCCTGCGCCACCAGAGCACTATTTCTGTTCTCATCCTGAAGTAAAGTTCTTAACCTGAGGTACTATTTCTGGGTTAGCGGAGTTTGTAACCTGAAGTGTATGTAACCTGAAGCGTATGTAACCCGAGGTACCACTGTAAAACCGTTTCTGCAGGGGGGGGGGTGACAAGAAATTTTCTGCACCGGGTATCACCTGTCTTTTCTACACTTCTGCTAGGGATTAAACCTGAAAAATGCAAAGCATCCCATTTATAACTGAGCTGAAGGATTTTCTCTCTTTCTCTCTCTCTCCCCCTCTCTCTCAAACAAACACACCAGTAGTAATTGAACCATTGTCCCAGGGAGAGCTATGTGATCTTAATTCTGTTTGGATCCTGGAATGTTCCATTTTTTGGCCAGTGCTGTGGCACGAATCATCTAGCTCCCACGAGAGCTCAGGACCAAAAAAACGAGTGTCTTGGTTTTGATCAGTATGGGAGGGTATGGGATACCAATGCAAATATTTGTGTGATCAGACTGAGATTTCTTCCAGGATTGTAACAGCTATCCATTTGGGCCTTATATCAGATACATTTTTTTTCTTTCTTTCCATTATTTCATGGAGATAATTATTGCTCCTATATAGTAATTGGCATTGAAAAAAACAACACGTTTTACAGCTGAAGTCACTGCTTGAAGTAGGATTATAGTTCTGGCAGATTTGCTGACACCCACCCCCATGTTCAGATAACTGGTTACTGATATAAAATGGTAAGAAAAACCTGTTTATTTCCAAATCTGCCACCATTTAGGATGGAGGTAAGTATGGAGGCAACTCCCTTTGTTTGATCTAACTGAGCCCATAGATTTATTTATTTGGGGCTGGGCTTGTACGGAATAGTAGCAAAAGAAAATTCACTTGGATTTCAGTTAGTAGAAACGAACTACAGTATAATAAAGCTGATGGTAAGGAACAAATTACCTTTCCCACCCAACCAGCATGTCATTTATATTAATAGTGGGGGATGCTAAGTTGCTCTGTGTGTAAGTAAACTCTATTAAGAAAGTCACATCCCTTGGTGAAGCTGGATCCTTAGTAAATTTTACTAGCCAAGCACTGAGCTCTGTGTCAGAGTAATTACACCCTTTATCTACTGTGAGCTCTCTTTTAGCTTCTTCATACTCCTTAATTTCCCACTTCAGCCAATTTAGCAGTAAAATCGCAGAAGTTGAAAAAGGTTAGCTGCTGAGGAACTGGAGCGTGAATGTTCTGTTAAGCTCCATGCCTTATAATCGCATCATGTAAAAGAAGGAATTAATTAAGTAACAATTAAGTAGTGATGGATCATTGACAATATATATACACTTTGGTGCTAAAATTAATCTCCCCTATAACACCAACAGGATAGTGCATTTTTTGCTTTGAAAACACTGCCAAGTTATATCCCTGAAACGTGAAAAGGAGAAGCTGCTCTCCCTTTTGCCCTAAACTAAACAACCCCAAATGTTGGAACCAAATCCTTGATCATTTTGGTCGCCCTTTTCTGTACCTTTTCCCAACATATAAATATCCTTTTTGAGGTGAGGAGACAAGAACTGTACACAGTATTCCAAGTGTAGTCACAAAATAGATTTGTATAACACCATTATGATAAATAAAAGTTTAGTTGTTAAGACCCTTTCTGAATGATCCATTGGATGGCATTTGCCTTTTTCACAGATATCACACACCAGGTTGATGTCTTAATCAAGTTATACACTATGACCCCACTGTCTCTCTCATTCTTGGTCAGCCAGCACAAATTCAGACCCCAGCAGCATACAGTATATGTAAAATTGGGATGGTTTTTTTTTACCCCAGTGTACATCAGTTTATACTTGCTTACGTTGAGCCGCATTTGCCCATTTTACTGCCCATTCACTCAGTTTGGAGAGATCCTTTTGGAGCTCCTTGCAATTCCTATTTGCTTTAGCTACCCTGAACAATTTTACATCATCAGGAAACCCTGCTTCTCATCCCTTACTCTAGATCATTTATGATACAGTTAACAAGAACAGCTCACAATACTTTGGGGGGCAAATCTTTGTGGAACTCAAGCCATAATAAAGACCAATGAGTGAAACCACAATATATAATTAATAGTCTATTGGGGGAAAAAGATACTGTACATAATATTCTCTGGGAACAAGCAGTAGAGTTTTCCTGGTGGTAGTGGTACACTCACCAGGAAGACGAAGGGGCATGGCAGTGGTGAGATTAGGTGAGTTCAGTTTTGGTGGTGGCAATATATGCACACGCCTCCAGGGCTGCCACTGTCAATCCAGAGCTCCCTTGACATTATTGCTTGTACCTTGCCCACTCCATCCTAGTCCCAATATGCACAGTGCTGCTGCTGCTTACCACCACCCCTGCTGCTTCGGAGGGATAAAAGAAAGCTTGTACAATGTGAACACCAAGCCAAACACAGTCCACCAGCCATAGAATATACAGGCCCTCCACGCCCCCAAGACTCAATAAATATGTGCTGGGAAATAAAAACAAGGAAATTGCCAATTGCCTGGGAGGTCAGGCAACTGAAGGTGTACTCTGCTTGGTGATTCACCAGTTGGGTGCAAGACATGTCTAGAACTTCCATGTCTCTGGATTGATGGGGACCTTCTTCACATTGCACAATCCTGAATGAAGCCACAGCAGCAGTCAAAGATTTAAGGCCTCTCCCCATGCCACTGTTCCAAATCCAGATCACCCATTATTTGTGAAAAACAAAAAGGAAGAAAACAGAAGGCCAAACTACATGGGTTAATGCCCATGTCTAGTTTGACCTTAAAAAGTGGGGCACACTGACATACTTTAAAGTCACTGCAACATCCCTTGCAAATTTGCAAATTACAGTCATCTTGTTATTTTTAGACTCTAATGCTGGTTTCTCTTCACATATTATGATGATTCAGTTTTCACTGATTAGTTCTGCAACAAAATATGGCATGGAACCAGTGGGATCAGGAATACAAACATGAGTAAACAACAATCAAAGGAAGTACATCTCAAGTAAATTTCCTGGGGAAGGGGGAGCAGGCTGCCAATGAATATTGTCCTGGTCTAGTGAAACTAAGCTGTGTAAGCTGCTTAGGGTGATTAGGCATCTGATGAACAGCCAGGATCAGGTGGGAAGTGAGGTGTAAAGACAGAAATATGGTCTTGCCAAATGCATAACTCAGAGAATGATTTCAGCCACATATTTGATACAGTGACATTTTCCTTGAACTTTCCTGGTCTGAATTATTTGCATTAATTGATTTATATTTACATTTATATTTCAGTTTCCCACCTGAAGGTGCTCAAGAACAGCTTACAGTCAAAATAAAAAAGAGAGATCAAAATCATCATAAAACTGTATTAAAAGTTTCACTGAACAGGTCGAGAATGCTCAAAAAAGAACTCAAATTTTCATCTAAAAGTTTCTTATGGAAAATGCCAGCCACCGGTTTGACTTCCCTGAATGCCTAGAAATCTAACAGCGTGGACCTTGTAAGGCTTTCTAGGGTCAGACTTTCATAATCCAGATCCTAGCACCCAAACCGACAGATTTCCAGTAACAGAAAACCTTATTTCAAACAGTGGTGATGCCTTAGGCAACATCTCAAGGGGACAAAAATAGGAGAAGGTGCCTAAAATCCAGTTATTTAGGTATAAGAGGAAAAGCACCACTCTGAATTTAGCCACTTACATAAAACTGGTGTCACATGCTTCCAGAGTCTTATATACAACAGAAGCTCTGGTGCCACACTATGGACTATCTGAAGTATCTGAGCTGTCTTCAAAGGCCACCCCACATGTAGCAGGCAAGGCGACAAGTTCCAGGGTACACATGACAATGGCCAAGCATAACTTATAAATACTGACAGATACCTAAGCATATTGGATTCCACACACATATTAATGGTGTGTTTGTGTGTGGAATTTATGGCTAAACACCTGTTTGATGAGTGAAAAGTTTAGGTGGAACGCAAAGGTATACAAAGAACAGAAAAGGCTTACCGTAGTTGTCTTTATTCTCCCACCTGGTTGTGTACAGGTCCAGCCTGATTTATTGATTAGCAAATCACAGCCTTCTCCTTCTAAACATGGAAGCATTTCACACCACTGTTTTGTTTTTATAATGCGTGCTGTGGACAACAAAAGAGAAAAAAATCAGCTTATAGTTCACGTTTTCCTGTCTACAAGAGTTGCTTGTGTGTGGAGTCCCCAAGCCACCCGTCAAAATAATTCACAAATCACACATAATTTTTGTTTAAGGTTTTTGGTATAATTTTGGCCACAACTTTATTAAAATACATAATCTGTGAGTGGTTGCTTAGGCATTGGCTATGACTATCTGTCCCCCCACCTGGGACAGAACTGACTTTCCGAACTCCCTCAGAAGCCAGTGAAAGGAAAACAATATTGGGGATCAGTTGAGCTGAGTGACAGTCCCTCACCGCTCACCCAACCTGCTCCCCAGGGCTTGCCGGCCCTGGTCTCATTTCAGGGATTGGACAAAATCGTGGCAAGCCCCAGGATTCTTTTAATGGAATTCCCTTCCACACCACCATTGGACGGGCAGGCCCAGCCTATCCTTACCCCTCCTCCACCAATTTTTATAACCAATGCCTAACCGCAACCTTACAAGTTGTTACGAATTGCTAAGTAGTAGGCAAAAACCAAATGGCACCAGCCAATCAGGCAAATGGACAAAATTCCTACTAGGCCCCTGCCCCAACGGAAGACGACCCCATGACAGGCATAGCAAGGTCAACCGGAACACAGGGCGGGCGGGCAGGCGGGCGGGCGATCCGATGCACTCAGCGAAAGAGAAAGCAAAAGCTGAGTGCCCCACTATTTAAAGCCTTTGGTCCCACCCCCCAAATTGCTACATGCAATTTGCCCCAGCAACCCGGCCATCCAATCGTTGCCCCAGGCCATCACAATTTTACCTGCCTGGCAACAGAAGGTTGGCCTGGCAGACCCCACCGCAACACGTGCTCTCATTTCAGGGAGAACACGCTTTATTTTGACAATACATCAATGCTCCATTTCAATAAAATGCTTAACCAATGTATAGCATGACTCTTCTCCTTGGGCACAACTATAAGGAGATTGAATGATGTTGCTTCCATTTCTGATTAACCACACTTTCATGTCATTTTTCAACCCTAAATTGTGGTTGATCTTAACTATGGTTGCTGAAACAGGTCAGCTCATCAAACGAGGTATGAAGTTGGCTTGTTTCAACAAACCATAGGTCAGATTAATCACAGTTTATCCAGATATGGATGAAAAGGCAAGCTATGGTTAATCCAAAATGGAAGCAAAAGCTTCGAAATTCTTCCTTGCAGTTGTGTTAGACGAAGGGTATGTGTGTGGGTTGGAGCCTGAGGTGTTCCTTGCGAGCACAGCCAATGTGACCATAATTAAATTCCACCACAACAATACAAAAAAGTCTTTATGACACTCCAGGTCAGAGACCTTGAAATGACAGATGAGTAATCATATGGTCCTCGCTCAAAATAAGCTGCCCCAAGTTCAAGGGAGAAAGGGGCCAGCAGAGCCAGCACACAAGATCCATCTCTGAAGAGGTGCAATCAATGAAGATGGATCCTTTGTTGGCTTAACCTCCACGCTGACCTCTCCTGTAAAGGCTGTTAAACTGATATGGGCTCATAAGTGCTGGAAGCAGCTGACATGCACCAATTGCACCAGGGTGTGGATTTTCTTCCATGGAACCTATTTGGCTCCAGTTTGTGGATTTTACAGATCCAGTGAATGCATTCATCCATATCCGTTAGAATTTTTTTTAAAAAAATTGAATTATTATGCAGATACAAATGAAACAAAGAATACAGACTTTTCTACTGAATACACAAGGAAAGGAAAAAGCAAAGAAAAAGAAAGGAAAAAGGAAAGGAAAGAAAAAGAAAAGAGAACAAACGTAAGCAGTAAAAAATTAAGTACAATACAAGGTAACTATAATAGTCATCCCAGACTATTCTTTACCTGAATACTGACTCTTCTGGGGTGAATCTCTTTCTATTACACTTTTGGTTATTTTGACTTCTGTCGACCTCATGGTGGTTCATTTCCTATAACTAGTATCATTTCTCTGTGTTTCAATATATTCCTTATCTTGGTATAAGGAGACATTTTCCCACTTATGGGTTTGTTCTAAGCACAGCCAAACATTGGTTGTTGAACCTTGACTCGATAGGTAGGTATTTAGACAATCCCATTCCTTCTGGACTATCTAATTTCACTTGTTCCAATACTTGGCTATTAATACCCTAGTCGCCGTCACTGCATAGAAAAATAATTTTAATCTTTCTTTTGGAATATTATCAGTTAGAATTCCAAGAAGGAATGATTCTGGTTTTTTTCATGAAATGTAATTTTTAGTAATTTTTTCATTTCCTCGTAGATCGTGTCCCAGAAATTTTTTATTTCTGGGCACGACCAGCATTCGTTCATATTATTGTCTGTCTGAAGCAAGCAACCCTGACAACTTCCTCTCCTTCTTCATCAAGTGTTGGGTATGAATTATTCCTTTGCAAATAAGGCGTTTTTCTTTATGTGTGTGTTGATAACTTTGAAGTCAATGTTATCGTAGTGATAGATCTATGCCACAGCAAGATATGATGGCTGAGGTTTTAAGCATAGCCATGTGGTTATCTGCTCTAGCGAGGCTTTTCTCGCCCCATACAGTACAGGCAGCCCCTGTCTACGCACATTCAATATGTGTGCGGTCATGTATATGCACATTGCACCAAACCCAGAGGTGGCCCAGAAATGTCATAAAGACGTCACTGAAACATCACTAAAGGGGCAGAACAGGGGTGGGGGTGGGACAGAATGGGGTATTTACAGTCTTTTTCAATGGGTTTCAATTATACATGATGTCATCCATGTGCACGGTGCCTTGGAACGTAACCCCTGGGTAAACTGGGGAATGCCTGTATAATTTCCCCCAGTGCCACAAACTGTCATTATACACCACAGGTACATACTCTAAGTAAGAACAACAGTAACTGGAAATCCCCTGTGAACATTCATGGGTGGGGAATCCAAATATATAGTAGGATCACGTCATACACTAGGGTGGGTCGTGGTCTAAACCACTGAGCCTCTTGGGCTTGCCGATCAGAAGGTCGGTGGTTTGAATCCCCAGGATGGGGTGAGCTCCCGTTGCTCTGCCCCAGCTCCTGTCAACCCAGCAGTTTGAAAACACGCCAGTGCAAGTAGATAAATAGGTACCACTGCGGTGGGATGGTAAACCGCGTTTCCATACACTCTGGCACTCAAAAGGGAAGCATAACACTCAAAATGGAGCACGTTCGGCTTCTAAAAAAAATCACAAACCGGAACACTTACTTCCGGGTTTGCATTGTTTGGGTTCCAAGTTGTTTGAGTACCAAGGTGTTTGAGAACCAAGGTACCACTGTACTTAATTCCTTGTACTGAACCATGATATTTAGCTTTGACTAATAAGGACTTCTTGCACTTACTGTTTACATGTAAAGTATGAATAGCAAGGATATTAATACAGGGTTGATAGCGATTTGTTCCATTATTTATTTATTTAAGAAAGAGAGTGAAATCCCCTTCTGAAGATCTGAACAAAGCAAAACACCAAGCTCTGTTTTGAAAATGCTATGACACTTAAACTGGGCTACAATTAGGAGAACAGGATTAAGACAGAACATGTGCACACACGTATTTATCAGGTTTTTGTACTTTCTGTCCCCCGCCTTTGATACGAATTTATACACTAAAATGTGTCAGCAACCATGAGAACTCCGTTTGCGTGGACAGGCGGAGTCCCCAGATCCCGAGCAGTCCCCCCCCCGTCATGTGGAATAACGACTCTAGACAACGTGCTATGGGATTAAATTGGACACAACTTTATTAAATTTCAAATGTGGGTAGACCTTGGCTCAGGCATTGGGCGTTCTCCCTCCCCAGTCCCCAGCCGGGGACCTAGGGAGCTTCAGGGTTATCCAGTGTGTGTGGGGGGGATGGGCTGGCTCTGGAGAACATATGTTCAAGCAGAGACAGCCGCCCCCGTTACGCCGCCGCCGCAGGGGAGAGCAATGACGACCTTTCGGCGTACGGTCAAAGCCTCCCTTCAGAAACCCCCTTTAACGGGGAACCCTGGTATCGCCGCCGCAAAGAGGAAGATGGACTAAAGGATTCCGCCCAAGGCCTGATACCGCCAAAGTTGTGACGTTTTGCTACGGGAAAGGCGAAACCTGCCAATGCAGGGAAATTCCTTTCCGGCCCTTTAACAGCGACCTTATCGTAGCAGCGCCCGCATACCTGTGGAGAAAGGTTAACCTGCAAAACCTATGAAGAAAAGTTAACCTGCAAAAGAAGACATTAACTGAGGGTGGGTAGGGTGGGAGAAGCTCTGGAGCCAAGTGAGGATTACCAGGTAAGATCCTCCCTCTATTGTGTGGGCAGGTAATCCCTCCCCCTACCTGGCCTGGTTTCCCTGGCAACGCTTCCCCCAGGTGGGATTGGACAACTCACTGAGGTAGGCGGGGACCTCCAGGTATCCCACCTGAGGGAAGGCAAAGCCTATGCTGATGGGGCCACTCCAGATCCAGGGCTGCACGCGTCCACGCAAAGGGTGCCCCCCGTTTTAAGCGGGGAGCGGTCATTGCAAATTCTCCTGAAGGCATAATATTGATAAAACCACCGGCCTGCTTCAGATATTTCTCTCTGTAAAGTTTCCTGAAGGCACAAAGTTTATGAAACCACTGGCCTGTTTCAAATTAACACTTCCAATTTATATCTAAATCAGCTGACCACCTAGCATGAATAAGCTAGGCCACAAGGGCTTGCATGAGATTTTGAAACTCCGAAGAGAATATCTCCCAAACTGTTGAAATCCTAGTTTTCGGGGAAAGAACAAATAAGAGTCAGATAGCTTCAGGGTAGTTAGTTTTTGCTGTCTAACAAGGGATGTTAATTGAATGCTTGCCTCTAGAGAGAAATCTTTGTCAGGAATCACTGTGCTCTGTTTCCATCCCCTGCTGTTCTGCTCTGCTGTATTCAATTAGTGTACTGGAAGCAAAGTAAAATTTAAACTGATCTCTGACATGCCAGCAGAAACCACTACAGGGATCAGGTTTTT